CTTTCATCAGGAAAGTGAATGCTTTCCCATAAACCTCAAAGCCAGTTTTCCACTTACACCTCATTCATTAGAACTGTTTCCCATTGCTGTCCTTGGGTGCAAGGGAGTCTGGGAAGATTAACGTTTTTTTAGCAGGACACGCAGCTACGTCAACACAGTGTTTTGTTAGTAATGAAGGAAGTAGCAATGCTTATTAGATAGGCAACCAGCCATATCTGCCAAAGGAACACATTTTACTTATGGTAAAACCAAAAATATTACTCAAGTTTAGAGAACGGCCAGAATACGGTAAGCTATAGGAGCTTGAGAAGGTTCCTGAGGAGAGATGTTTAGAACTGGCTAAGCAGAAAGGAAAGACAAGGGAACTTTCAAAGGGGATAAAAGTAAGAACAAAATCTATGAAGACAGGAAAATGTAGTAAGGTCTAAAACTAAATTACCCTGTAAAAAGTTTTTAATTGCATAATTAAGTTTAAAAAACATTGCTGAGTGATAAATATGCATGTTGTTTCCTAGCAGGAAAAAAAAGTAGCATCATGTTTAAGAGATGAGTCACGAGCAAAGGGTCTGATTAGACATTTCTCCAAAGAAAATACACAAGTGGCCAGTAAACACATGAAAAGACGCTCATGATTAGTCACCAGGGAAATGATAATCATAGCCATAATGAGATACAACCACTTCATACCCACTAGTATGGCTAGAATCAAAAAGTTAGCAAGTTTTGGTAAGGATGTGATGAAACTGGAACCCTCATACACTACTGGTAAGAACGCAAAATGGTACAACCACTTTAGAAAACACTCTGGAAGTTCTTCAATCAATTAAGTATGTTATCATATGACCCAGAAATTCCTAAGAGAAATGAAAACATATGTCCACCCAAAGACTTGTATGTGAAATTTTATAGCATTATTCATAATAGTCAAAAGGTAGAAAAAAAACAAATAGCTAGGAACTGATGTGCAGATAAACAAAATGAAGTATATCTGTAGAACGGAATATTATTTGGCCATAAAAGGGATGAAGTACTGATACATATTACAACATGGACAAATTTTAAAAACCTGCTAAATGAAAGAAGCAAGTCATGAAAGACACACATTATGTGATTCCATTCATATGAAATGTCCAGTACAAGGAAATCTACAGAGACAGAACATAAACTAGTGGTTGTCTAGGGCTGAGGGCAGGTAGGTGGGCTGCTATGACCTGATTCAAACCACTGTTACTTCATAGCTGGATTTTTCTGATAACTTCCTGGTCTCCTGCTTCCATTCTTTGTTCACTAATGAATTCCAAGTGCCTAGAACAGTACCTGGCACACAGAGGAAAGTACGTATTCAATAAATCTGTTGTTATTTTGACTTCAAGTTCTGTGCTCCTTTCCAGATTTTTCTCTTGATTTATTTTCTGGGTATATATCCACCATGGGAGGAGAGGAAGTGCTACTCAGAACCCAACCCCCCTTCATATTTTGGGAAATTGCAGGCACCAAAAGGAGGCAGCTCCTTTCCCTCATAGAAACTAGAAACCCTAATTATTTACTTTACCAGCTCCCCTGGCACACGACCAGGTTTGGCCAATCACATGTACCTCCCAGAACTGTGACTGGGAACTGGGAAAGAGGTTTCTCTGTGGCTTTTTGTTTATTTTGGTGGTAGCAATATCTGGTTCTTCAGCCAGGGCCAGGAGTGCCAGTGGAGTTACCTTCTGAGGTCAGCAATGTCAACAGTTAGATGAGGTGTTCAGGGCTCTGAGGCACAGTATCCTCACCAGACAGGCTTCACGGTGTGTTCGGCTGTGGTCTTTCTGCGAACCTTCCCTCAGTTCCTGCCCACTTTTAGAACTGGGTGTCCACTCTTCCCAGTGATTCTGCAAGTCCACCTTATATCTCTCAATAAATTCCTTTTCTGCTAACATCAGCCAGAGTTAGTGCTGCTTGTAATGAAGAATACTGACTGAAAGAAGACTTCCTATAAACATGAACCTTCTTAAACCCAGGAGCATCTTTTAAAAAAGTGGTGTTTCAGGAGGATTTCCCTGTGAAGAAACACAATCTCACATAACTTCCAGAGAGAAATTAATTTACTTTACTTCTGTTGATTCACTTTTCCTGTTCTTGTTATCTTCCAGACAATCAGGATTCTTCCTCCTCTCACCCCCAAACAAGTCCACAGCCCCTTTCCCTAAAGTCTCATTTCCTGCCTATATAGTAGTCTCCTCTTATCTGTGGTTTCAGTTCCCACGGTTTCAGTTACCTGTGGTCAACCACAGTCTGAAAATATTAGATGGAAAATTCCAGAAATAAACAATTCATAAGTTTTAAATTGTGTGCCATTCTGAGTAGCGTGATGAAATCCTGCACCATCCCGCTCTGTCCACACGGGACATGAGTCATCCTTTGGTCCAGCATATTCTGCCCCTTAGTCACTTCTTAGCTATCCTGGTTACTGGGTTAATGTCATGGTATCACACTGCCTGTGCTCAAATGACCCTTATTTTACTTAATAATGGCCCCAAAGCCTAAGAATAGTGAGGCTGGCAATTTGGATATGCCAAAGAGAGGCTGTAAAGTGTTTTCTTTAAGTGAAAATGTGAAAGTTCTCAACTTACTAAGGAAAAAGAAAAATCATACACTGAGGTTGCTAAAATCTATGGTAAGAATGAATCTGCTATCCATGAAATTGTGAAGAAGGAAAAAGAAATTCATGCCAGTTTTGCTATTGCACCTCAAACTGCAAAAGTTATAGCCACAGTGCGTGATGAGTGCTTTGTTAAGATGGAAAAGGCATTATATTTGTACAGTAAGATATTTTGAGAGAGATAAACCGTATTCACACTGTTATTAACTATTCTATTTTATTCCTAGTTACTGTTATTAATCTCTTACTGTGCCTAATTTATAAGTTAAACTTTATCATAGGTATATATATACAGTAAAAAACCATAGCATAAATAGGATTCAGTACGTTCCACAGGTTCAGGCATCCACCAGGGGATCTTGGAATATATCTCTTGCAAATAAGGGGGGCTCCTGTACTGTAATTACGTGTACGTTCCACGTGATAATTCATGGCATCAGTCCCATAAAAGGATGAAAAACAGCTCACTAAGTGTGATGGGATCTGGGACTATGTTTTTGGAAATAACCAAGATTTCCTTCTATAGTTGAAAGAATAAACAAGCTGTGGTACTTACAATGGAATGGAGTATTATTCGTCAATCAAAAGAAATGAGCCATCAAAAGACATGGAGGAACTTAAAACGCATATTGCTAAGTGAAAGAAGCCAACCTTCCTTGTTTTGAAAAAGCTGTAAACTATAATGATTCCAACCAGATGATATTTTGAATAAAACATAACTTTAGAGACTGTAAAAATACCAGCAGTTGCTAGGGGTTAGGGGAGAGGGAAGGATGAAGAAATAAGTGAAACACAAGAGATTTTTAGGGCAGTGAAACTATCCTATACGATACTGTAGTGTTAGATGCATGACATTTATGCATTTGTCAAAACTCACAGAATGTACAATACAAAGAATGAACCCCTAATGTAAACTATGGACTTTAGTTAATAATAAGATATCAATATTGGCCATCAATTGTAACAAATGTACCAAACTAACACAAGATGTAAATATTAAGGGAAATTTTATGTTTGGTGGGGAGAGAGGGGTGGTATTTTGGAACTCTCTGTATCTTCCGATCAATTTTTCTGTAAACCTATAAAGAACTTAAATACTAGAAAACAACATCATGGCATGTAAGAAGATGAAAGTTAAAATATCCTAAGGTCCTTGTGCTCTGAGAAAAAGAGATGTTGATTATCTTTAGACTTTGAGTCCAATAATGCATGTTAAAAATTTAACGGAAACCACTAAATGAAAACAAGATTAAGCAAAACAAATTTCTTTCTTACAAAGCAAATCTATTATTTTTAACTGTGGTGGCCTACCTGAGATTCCAGAGCCTCCAACTTACGTTTCCTGGCATGAAGAGCTTTACTTGGAAAAGCCCAATAATAATTAGATGTTCCAATTCTTTCACAGTCAACCATACCATCATCGACTAAGCTCTGAAGAACTTCTTTTACTGACATAGCAGCTGAAAGAGGTAATTTTTAAAGATTCCATATTAAGACACAAATTAAAAGGCCAATAACTGGGGAAACACTTGCAATAGATATTATAGATAAACGTCATTCTAAGTAAAGCAAGAAAGAGAAAGAAAAATACCATATGATATAACTCATATATGCAATCTAAAAAGAAAAGGAAAAAAAAGGCCACTATGAACTCATCTACAAACAGAAACAGACTTGCAGACATAGTAAACAATCTTATGGTTACCGGGGAAAGTGGATGGGAAGGGATAAATTTGAGAGTTTGAGACTTATAAATGATAGTCACTACACATAAAAATAGATTTTAAAAAAAGTTTCTGCTGTATAGCACAGGGAACTATGTTCAATATCTTGTAATAAACTTTAATGAAAAAATATGAAAATGATTATATGTATATGTATGCATGACTGGGACATTGTACTGCTGTACATCAAAAATTGACACATTGCAACTGACAGCATTTCAATTAAAAATAATATTAATAAATAAAGTCAAAAAATATTATAGATTGAGTTAATAAGTTAATAAACAAGAAGCTTTCAAAAATAATTTTAAAAAGACAAATACTCCAATAGAAAAACAAAATACATCAATGGGCATCTATAAAATACGCATGATCAATAAGAAACAAGAAAAGTGTTCAAACCCACTAACAATTCAAGAAATGCAAAATAAGGCATGAGATATGATTTCCTGACTACCAAGTTAAACACATCAAAAATTATAATAAAGGATTCAGGGAAATGAGTGGGAAAATATAGCACTATGTATCTAAAACCTGAGATTTGTGCATATCTCTTATACAGAAATTCCATTTTTATAAATTCAGCTAAAGAAAATAATGATGGATATGCATAAGGATGCTTGTTAAAGCACTGTTCTCAACAGTAAAAACTTACAAATCAGTCCAATTACTGGACTCGTAAAAGTATTTTACTGCAATGACATACTATGCATTCATTAAATTTACGTTACAAAAATTTAATGGCCTGGATATATACACATTCAAAATGTATTATACAGAAAAACAAGTTAAAAGATAGTATGCACTAATGTGACAGTTGTTATTTTGAATGTAAGGTTAAGAGGCAATTTGTATTTCCTTCTTTTTGCTCATTTTTCTTATTTTCTTCCAACAATAAATATGTATTATTCATTATGCTAAGGAAACAAAAACAAAACTACTATGAAAAATTCAACAAGAAAGAAAGAAACTGGAGGTTATGGTTGGGGTAAGATTAAAGATCAGAAAAGTTTAAAAATAGCATGTAAAAATATAAAATCATATTTCACAAATGTTTGAAATTCATGAATTATTCAAGCTTTCTATTAGGCAAAACTACACCAAGAAATTATCCATATTTTAATGTCCATTTTAGTTTTTCCTAGAGTAAATTTAATAAAAATCTATTAAAAATTTAAAGATTTAATAAATAAAAGCAATAAAATTGACACCAAATACAAAACATTCAACCTCATTTGTAAAGAAGTACAAACCGAAAGGAAATGTCAAAGAAGTCTAAAAATGAAAACAGTTTTGAGAAATGAATTTGAGTAGAATTTGGTATAATCTTTCCTGAAGGCAATTTAAGAATACATATAAAAAGCCCAAAACTACATAAGTCTCTTTTTCTACTCTGTTTCTAGGGACACTTCCTAATGAAGTAACATGAGATGTAGAAAAAAGTTCATAGTGGGGGGAGAGGAAGGGATGAATTGGTGGAGCACAGAGGATTTTTAAGGCAGTGAAAATACTCTGTATGATACCACAATGACACTGTAACAACGATCTGTGTCACTGTACATTTGTCCAGACCCACAGAATATGCAACACTGAGAGTGAATACTAATATAAATTACGGACTTTGGGTCATTATGAAATGTCCTTGCAGGTTCATCAGTTGTGACAAATGTCCTGCTGGTGAGTGATGTTGATGATGGAGGTGAGGAAGTATATGAGAAATCCTGAAATTAAAAAAGCTGTAAAAAATAAGTCTTTTAGGAGAAAAATCTATGGATGGCATGTTACTTATATATTAATTCTAGCAGCAAAATTTGGGAACAATCTGCATGGTCAATAATAGCTAACAGGCTAAGCAAATTATGGCACAGTGGGTGGTCATAGAATAAAACATTAGCAGATGCAGATGTTGTAAATCATTTTTTTTAAAGCAAATGACATAAGAAAATGTAGATGATATAATGCTATATGAAAAACTACATGAACACAAAGCTGTATATGCAGCATGGTTCCCTCTCAGAGAAAGGGACAGATATATACACACACAGATAAACAGAATCTAAGAGTAAGACATCAAAATACACCAAAATGTTAACAGGGGTGATCTCAGAGGGATTATGAACAACTTTTATTTTTATAATATTCTTTATAATTTCCAAATCTGTTGAAACAAACAAATATAGCTTATGTAATCAGAAAATAATGTTATATATATACATAAAATACATAGTGGGTTTAACAGTGACCCCTGAAAAGATAGCCCCCAGAACCTGTGAATGTGACTTTGTCTTGGAAAATGGTCTATAGAGATGTAATTAGGACCTCACAGTGAAATCATCCTGGATTTAGGGTGGGTTCCCAAATCCAATGACATGTGTCCTTATAAGACACCAAGGGAAGAAAATCAATGGGAAGGCCATGCAGAGGCAGAGATTAGAATGCTGTGTCTATAAGCCAGGCACACTGCTGGCAGCCACCAGAAGCTAGGAGAAGAGCATGAAACAGATCCTCCCTCAGAGCCTCCAGAAGGAACCCACCTTGCCAACACCTTATTTTTAGACTTCTGAACTATGGGAGAACAAATTTCTATCGTGTTAAGCCACCAAGTTTATGGTAATTTGTTACAGCAGCTGTAGAAAATTAACACCATACAAATCACATTTAACAAATACTAGAACATACATGAATAGTTTTTACTTCTTTTGAAGGAAATTATTCCCATAGATAAATGTGTACAATTGTGTGTACATATTATGTGTGTATGTGTGCACATGCATGCATGCATATTCCGTTTCAGTTTTCCTAGAGCAGATACTTCAAACACAAGAATCATGGTTGTGGCCCAGAGATATTATATAAGGGATTTTAGAAACATTCTTCATCTCTAGAAATTTATAAAGTGAAAGACTGTTGCAAAAAAAGATGACCGGTATTTACCAAAATATTCTGGAACTTTTTTGATACTTACTAATGCCTTTTTCTTTGGGAGCAATCTTCTCCATGTCTTTTAATTGAAATACATCTTTCTGTTTAAAAGAGTTATTAAAAAAAAAGGTGAAAAATATGTATTTATTTCCTACTATATATTTATATTTACCATATTATGTTTATAAAATACTGTACTAAAAACCTATGCCTGGAAATGAACAGTGCTATGGAATTAAGAATTTTAGAGCTAAAAGAAATTAATTATCTTGTTTAATACCTCCAACAGAACTTAAAATGGACAGATTTTGCATGAACATACAATTCTTTAAAGTTAGTGGAGGGCAGAAAGTAAAGAACATCTTCCCAGCGAAGTATAAAAACTAGTCATCATGAATCATTTAACATGAGATAATCAGCTTCTCTGACACTCTGACTTGAAGAAAACACAAGCAATGCTTTGCTTAGCACATAGCATACATCACAGATTTAGCAGCTCTAACTAAGAGCAAAACAGACAGCTGTCAAGATCTGTTCACATTTACAGTTTCACGGAAGAGCTGCACCTAAACATGACCATCATACAATTCAGGGCTGCCTATCAATCGTTCACCTATACCTACTGCATGTCTACCATGTGCAAAACAAAACATTATCGCACGATATACAAGTAGAATATTTAATCTTACGGTTGAGGAAAAAAATCTATGTAGAATATTCCTTTCTTCTTGTAATAAGCCTTGGCTGAAGTGGTAAAAAGAACTTGGATAACAGAAGTGAAATATTTGAAAAGACTGAAGTATTCAGTTATTAGAACAGAACTATTGTGATTATTGCTATGGAAATCTGGGATCTATTTCTTCCAAAATAAACCTGAAAAAGCAACTTCAATAAGATGGAAATTAGACATCATAAAAATTTAAAATGTCTGCCCATTCAAGGGCACTGTTAAGAAACTGAAAAGACTGCCGAGAAGACAATTCACAAAAGATATACACTCCCCTGCCCTCAAAAAGATGAACTGATGATGGATAAAGGAGTGGACAGATGAATATTATATATTAATAAAGTAAGCAGAGTACAAAATATTACAGGTAGAATCTAGGTTGGGCATATAGTCCTTCACTGTGAAATTCTTTCATCTTGAATGATAAAAAGCTGGAAAAAGTAACTTCATCTCAGTACACTTAAGATTAAGTAAATTAAGGAAAATACTGAATCATTGGTCTTAGAAAGTGTGAAATCAATTTTTGTCCCTCTGGGAATAAACTCTCAAAAAATAATTCTGTAGGGTCTCAGAGAACATGCAATAAATTACTGGCTTTAGGTCGCTAATGCATTTAAAAAAAATCAATTAATCAAACCTATTTGCAAATACCTTAGATTCCCTGGAAAAAGAACATAAACTCACTGAGATATCTGCCCACATGTGGTCATCAAAGAAGAGCCCCAGACATACTGGCTGCCCCAGTGGGGCCGCTGTGTAGATAAACATGCTCGCAAAGAAACAGCCTCAGGACTAAAGTGGGGTCATTTAAACGAACAGAGAAAACGGTCTCCAGTAAATAATAGTTCTCCCCAACAAGAAACAGAGATAACAAAGAAGAGATGAACACAATGGTTCTAGCCCTCAAAAACAAAACTATAAAAACAAAATACCATGGAAGACACACAGTAATAATACTAGATAACTTTTAATTAAACACTTGTGATCTGGGCATTGAAATGTTTTACACAGATTATCTCATTTAATCCTCATACTAACACTGTGAGCTAGGTACAGTTATAGATGAGGAAACTGAGACTTAGGTCAAGTAAGTCACAAAGTCGCAAAGCTGTTAGGTCAAGCAGACTGGAGGTGCAAGTTCTCTGTCATGGAGCGATACTGCTGCCATGTTCATCCTAAGGGTAACAGCAAAGAAGTCTTTTTCTATTACATTAGCAACTTCAAATAAATCTTTTAACTATGTATTTATAAGAATAAATATATAGGAATATAAGAACTGAAATCAAGCAATTAATACAATTAATTTCTAGCTTTACATAAAAACACAGTATTAACTTCTTTAAGCTGCTACTACTCATTAGTGTCACAGTCATTACTATCTGAATGTTACTGAGAGAAGAGTTGAATATTTTTCAATCAGAAACAGCCAACTTTGATATTCAAGAAAATTAACAATTCCATAAAGGACAAAATAATTTCCCTCACCACTCTCCCCAGCTTTCCACTGCCTGGTGGGAATTAATTCTACTTCTCCTGCTCTAGGAGCATAGAAAAAATATTTCGACTCAGAGGAACAGTCATAATCCTCACCAGCAAACGTTATCAATTTATCTTCCTAACCATATCATCATTATTAATATGATACTCTGTTCTGAATTGCCAGTGACTTTTAGTAAGTCATTATATATAAGTAAGATTACTAAGATTTCACTTAGATGGCAAAGCATTAAAAAAAAAGCCCCTACAATATTTCACTTGTTTTATTAAGAATATGCTTTATCAAAACGAAAATGTCAAGTATTATCATTACTTATTGATTTCATATTCTATTTTGCCATTTTCCCATCTTCTTCACATTTGTAAATAATGAAAACAGCCAGTAGGCTGGGGCCAGACAAGACTTTGAAGGTCCTGTCAAGACATAAGACATAGGAAGTTAAAATGTTTTTGTGGGTCCAAAGTCTGAATTTTAACCTGGAAACAAGAAAAGCCACTGAATGGTGGCTTGGTGAAGAAAACAGGGTCTAGAGCCAGGTGACTGGGTTTGAATCCTGGCTCTGTCACTTAGAAGTGGAAACTTCAAGCATGTTTCCTGTTAGTGGCAGGCACAAATTAAGGAGGACTACGTGTTA